AAAGATTATGAGAATTTATACTAGTCATTCTTATGAACAGGAAAATGGTTTTAAGGAAAGGACAGCACAGAAAAGCCCAATAGGAGACTAAGTACCAAGGAGCCCTTGGGCTGAGTACACGAAGAGTGCCCCATCAGTAGACAGTGTGACTTTTCGGACATTTAATTCCTATAGCGTGTACCAAGGAGAAAACAGAAGTGTGAGACATGAAAATCTGTATCCACACAAAACATGCAGATGAAAATCCGTAACAGCACCATTCACAAGAGGCACAAGGCAGAGATAAGCCGACGTCCATCAACGGTGACTGGGAAGCGCTGAGGCTGTGAAGAATGCTTGTCAGATGCACAGGCCTCAGGCTGGAGTCCCAGTACCATAGAGAAAACAGAGCAAGTGTGAATGGGTAAAGAAAACATGGTTTTAGATACAATGGAATTTAGCAGCACAAAGGAATTCAGCACTAACATATGCTACAATTTGAATGGACTGTGACGACATTACACTAGATAAGACAAGTCAGACACAGCAGATTACACATTGTACAATTCCACTTATATGAAATGTCCACAGCAGGCAAATCTTGAGGCAAAAAAATTGTTGTTTTTGTTTTTGTTGCTAGGAAATGACCAGATTTTGAGGGGAAAACAGTGGGAGACTGTTGAGGGATACTGGCTTTCTTTTTAGGAAAGTGGAAATGTTTTAAAATGGTGGCTGTGGTACAACTCTACAAATATATTTAAAGCCCTTGACTTGAATGGCATGAAAAAAATGTCTTACGAAGATCAATCAAGGTAGTTGAGCATCACTGAAAGAAGACTCTAGAACTAGCAACTCCATCTCTCGGGAGTAAACTTGCACAAGTGATTTGAAGCACCACAATTAGCTATCACTTCACTATTAACTATAACTTAACTATCCCTTAGGGAGTGAAACCACAGCACCTCATGCTGCCACTGAGCTGGTGACCGATTCCCATCAAGCAGGATCAGTAATCATACAGCAGGAGTCATGAAAACAAAAAGAGTGTAGACTGAGGCCAACAATAGGCAAATGCTTGTGTAATATCTATGGGAGTAAAAGGTAATCAAGGCCAGGTATAATACACTGATAATCCTAGCACATGGGAGGCAGAGGCAGGAGGATCACTCTGAGTTAGAGGCCAGCCTGGGCTACATAGTGAGCTCAAAATATGGTATACAGTGAAACCCTGTCTCAAAAATCACTCTCCCCAAAGGATAAGCGTGGTGACACACGCCTTTAGTCCCAGCACTTGGAGGCAGAGGCAGGTGGATCTCTATGAGTTCAAGGCTGCCCTGGTCTGCCTAGCAAGTTCCAGGCCAACGGGGACTACAGGGAGACCCTGTCTCAAAAAACAAAACAAAGAACAAACAAACAAAAAAAATCACATACCCACCCAAAAAAAGATAATTTGGATACAAAATAAAAAAAAGATCTGAGTTGGTTTTCTGCAGGTGTGTGTGTGTGTGTGTGTGTGTGTGTGTGTGTCTACAAAGCATTAATTCAGGAGATATAATCTCACTTCTAGTATTTGTCTAAAATCATCAAGTAATTAAAAATCAAATAAAGAATTTAATATTTTCTGCAATGCTATACTTGAAAATTACATTACTATTCAAATATAATACTACTCAAACAATGGACTCAATTATAATTTCCCACTGCAATCCCATGCTGGGGGAAGGGAAACCACTGAAGCCTTAGGGACAGCCCTATCAGGGACTGATCAAGCAGGAAGAGATTCTTAAATTAACATGTGTATCTAATGGCTTTTCTGTCAATCTTATTATAAAATTAAAACATTGCTACAGAAAAGGCAGGGAGAAACTAGGAGTCTTTCTCTCCTTGCTTTGGCCAAATTTTAAGTAGATTCAATTTTCTTTACCAATTTCAGGCTCCTAATCCTTTAAAATACACCTATGTTGGGGCAGGAGAGTTGGCTCAGTGGTTAAGAGCACAGGCTGCTCTTGTAGAGGACCTGGGTTGGTTCCCAGCACCCACATGGCAGCTAACAACCATCTTGTTCCAGGGGATCTGACACCCTCTTCTGACCTCAGCAGGCAGTACATGCACATGGTGCAATTATAAGCATACAGGCAAAACATTCATACACATAAAAATAAATAAATAGCCAGGCATGGTAGCGCACGCCTTTAATCCCAGCACTTGGGAGGCAGAGGCAGGCGGATCTTTTTGAGTTCGAGGCCAGCCTGGTCTACATAGTGAGTTCTAGGACAGCTGGGGCTGCAGGGAGACCCTGTCTCAAAAAGACAAAAAGTAAAAATAAATAAAATTTAAATACAGGTATGCCCTGGATTTAATGAATCTAAATGCCCAATTGTACCAACACTGTGATCTAAACTTATTTTCTTTCTTTCTCTTTTTTTTTTTTTTGAAACAGGACCTCACTATGTAGCCCTGGCTGGCTTGGTACTTGCTATCTAACTAGTTGTCTGTGCCTCCTGCATGCTGGGATTAGAAGCATGCAACCACCATGGCCAGCTTTGTGATCTGTAATTCTGACGCAAACTCTACCTCTGAAAGCCATTTACCATGTACACATTCATGAAATACTCAGAAATATACAACATCCAGATACTGACATATGCAGAGATACACAGCTCTGTAATGAGAAACCCAAATTTCTTAAATATTCTTCTAACAATAGAAGAAATTAGGAAGCAGCCAGGAAATGAATACTGTGCAGTCACTATAAAGATATACTAAGGAATGATGGGTAGTGACATATGCCTGAAATCCTAGGAGACCAAGACAGTGGAGAGAACTCTGAGTTTAAGGCTAGCCTGGGCTATAGAGTGAGACCCACCCTGTCTTACACAGGTGCATATACAAACAGCACATGGCTACTATTACTTCCATCATTTGAAGGAGGAAAGCTTTTCCGCTAATTGCGAAAATTTACTTTGGAGAAGTAGATGAGAGTAACAAATGAAAAATTTACTGATCATGTGAAATTTCATAAATGGTTATAATTCCACAGATGGTTATCCATGTACTGATTTATTTATAAAAGAAGTAGAACTTCATTGAGAAATATCTATTAAAATAACTTTCTCGAAGAAACACCAAATCTATCTGGACCCAAAAGAGGCACACCATTTTCCTTACCTCAATGATATACTTCTCCAAAGATTTGATATCTTTAAGAGCTTCTGGATCTTGATGGATAACCACTATTTCTTTCAAAGGATACTAGGAGGAAAAGGGAGGGGAAAATGAACTAAGTGGCAATGCCTGCAAATGGCAGAATGCTAAATGTTTATCTAAACTAGCTCAATGGGGTTGGAGAGGTGGCTCATCAGTTAAAGAGCACTGGCTGCTCTTGCAAAGGACCTGGGTTCAGGTCCCAGCACCAACATGATGACTAACAACCATCCATAACTCCAGTTCCAATGGCTGTGCTGCTTTCTTCTGGCCTCCAATAGGCATAGTATGCACAGGTGACACAGACACACTCACATAAAAATAAACTCACTCAAGTTTATCTAAATGTTTGGCTAAACTAGTACCAAGTCATTCATACCCTTACTTAAGAAAAGGAAAAGGAATTATGCCATTGCTGGAAGTTCTTCACATTAAAATTTCCTAAGATATAAAGGCTCTGTCAACCTACATCAAATAAAATTTCAAACCTTTATTGGAATAGTTTTCCGGTCTCTGATCACTCGCCCAAGTTCGATCACTGACTGCATTCTAGATACTGCACTCTCCGTTTTCCTGTCAATCTGCTCCTCTCTGATTAAGGGTAGGAATATGAAAGATTATTACTTTTAAAGGGTGGAAATTCAAAACAACAGGTATGCTTCAGTGAGGAAGATCTCAGGCTAGGGCTCCAGTGAGACATCTGGGGAAGAACGTCAGTGGCACCCTCCTTGAGGGGCAGACAGTGAGTGCCCAAGGTGATATGAAAGTTGTGTGCACACTTCAACTTGCCATAGCTCTTCAGGGGTGGGATTTCACATCCCTCCTACCACTTACCAAGGTAGGCCCCATCCTGCACCCTGAGCAGTAGCTACGGCAGCCTAGGTAGAATGTGGGGCTCAGAGGGACTGGAACAGGGAAATGCGTCCTGTCCAGATTCCTTCCCAGGAAGCCTGGGACCCCACGTGTACCTTCCCATGGCCTAGGTGAGGCTTATCTGCATTTGATTCCTACCGAACACGTGGCAGCATGAGGTAGTGGATGCTGAGTGTGTCCTTGTCCTGGACAGAAACAGGGTCAATCAGCATCTTTAGATTCTGGTACATCAGTTCAGTGAGAAATGGTGTATAAGGGGCCTGTATAAGGACAGAGGAGAGAATGTCATTCATATACACCTATCATCAGGTGATCTCACTTAGACCAAGAAACGGCAACTAATAACTTCAGAGAATGACCTTGGAATACACACAGGCTGAATGTGCCCACTCAAAGAAAAGAGTCTCCAACTAGGAGACCCCGGACAAGTACCAATCAAATCAGTACACTCGGCGGAGTAAATATCCTAAAGCCCAGAAACGTTATCTATAAACTAGCAAAAATCCCTGCCTGCCTAAGAGGATGTACATATACAAAGTTAGTCTTAAGAGAAGCCTGGAGAGATGGTTCAGTGGTTCAAAGTACTGGCTGCTCTGCAGAGGACTTGGGTTCAGTTCCCAGCACCTACATGGCGGCTAAGACCTGTCTGTAACTGCAGTTCCAGGGGATCCAACGCCCTCTTCTGACCTCTGCAGGCACTTCGTGACACCAGTGTACTTATATACATGCTGGCAATAGATTCATACACATAAAATAAAAATAATATTTTAAAAAAGAGTACATTATGACTTTGTACAACACAAATTCTCCTGTAAATGTTATGGACTCAGTCAGTGGCTTGTAACCTTATACTGGAATAGCACAGCAGGGTATAGGGAACTGAAGCTGCAGCCATCCCAATTACATGTCATTTAATACTTTAAACAATAGGAATTTCCAACAATCACACATTTTTCTTTGAGAATGTTATAATACACTTGGTCAGTTAGTCTTAGGAACCTCTTGGTTACTGACAATTAACAATTCACAGTAACAAGAAGTATGCCTTACCTCTCTAAGTATAGATCCTTGTCTAAATGCAGGATCTGGGTATGTGCTAAAATGCCAGTGAATAAGAATCTAGTAAGTCTCAGCTGGTACTTGTCATATGAGCTAATAAGACCTCTGAAAAGGAGCTAGAGATAAGAGCTGTTTGGATACTTTTACACAGAACAGACGGAGGGAAGGATGTTGCAGCAGGACAATGTACACATGTTCTAGAAAGGGGCTGAGCATCTCACCATCAGTCTGCACAGAGAAAGCAGGACACTGAACAAAGTCTCCAGAGCCATAACACAATCTTCCATCCCATTCTCACCCTAGAGAATAAAAAAGAAGTAAACATTAACCTGCTAATAGTAATTTTATCATAAAAATAAATGCTTACCAAAAAGAGACAGCCTACAGAGAGCATGCAGAACACAGACAAGAAAGAGTAAGGAGAAATGGCCACAGCCATGAGTCCCGGGGTTATGCAGGGCAGTTAGGGAGGCCAGCATGGGACAGTAGGATGCTGCTCCTCTGGCCATCTCCACCCTGAGGCCAGGCAGATGGGAGAAGTGGCTCCGTAACTGGGAGCCAGACTGACTGTGGACCCGAAGGCTAGGGGTAGATGGATTCCCATGCAACAGACAGAAACAGTTGCCAACAGCAAATTCTAAAGTACCCTTAGCTAAAAGGTTTTACTTTTTTTTTTTTGGTCTTTTTGAGACCGGGTCTCCCGGTAGCCCCAGCTGTCCTGGAACTATGTAGACCAGGCTGGCCTTGAACTCACAGAGATCCATCTGCCTCTGCCTCCCAAGTGCTGGGACTAAAGGCATGTGCCACCATGCCTGGCTTTTTTAAAAATTTTTATTTTATGTGTATGAGTGTGTTGTCTGCATGTATGTGAGTGCACCCGTGTTGTGCAATGCCACAGCAAGTCAGAAGAGGGCTTCGGATTCCCCTGGAACTGGAGTTAAGGATGGTTCACAGCCGCCATGTGGGTGCTGGGAATCGACGCCGGGTCCTCTGCAAGAGCAGTCGATGCTCTTAACCACTGAGCCATCTCTCCAGCCCGGGTTTTTTTTTTTTTTTTAAATATTTTATTTATTATTTTTATTTTACGTGTACAAGTATATTTCATGTATGTGAGTGCACCCATGTCGTGCAATGCCGCGGAGGTCAGAAGACGGTTTCAGATTTCCCTGGAACTGGAGTTAAGGACAGTTCGTAGACACCATGTGGGTGTTGGAAATCAAACCCAGGTCCTCTGCAAGAGCAGTCAGTGCTCTTAACCACTGAGCCATCTCTCCAGTCCCCCAAATTTTTATTTTTAAAGTAGGTATATACTGTATGCTTTTCAAAGTATTAATTCTAATTCATTATAGGAAATCACTACAAAATGGTAATTCATCTAGGGAAAAAACTGGCCTTCCAGGAAGATGCTGTCACTCCCTGTCTTGTCTCATTAATTCTGCACAAACCACTTAAGTCTTGAGACCAGGGCTCATGATTGCTCATCCTAAAACCCCAACAGCTAAGAACTTTGTCCATAGCAAACACCTGCTGAAGGTCTGTCTCGGGTGGTACAAACAACCATCCCTGCTCTGTAGCTATTTCTTTCCATTGAGACATTCCTTCTGGAGCCTGTAGAATTCTGAAGTAAACCAAATTTACAAGGCTCAGGAAGTAAACAGACCCCTGAGTCTTAAGAAGCTCCTGCCCTAGGTTATATAAGCAGTAACAACTGCAGGGAGAGGAGAGGCTCAGACCAGTTCGGCTATCTACAAGTTGTGTAGGGAGCTGTAGGAATTCGGCTTTCCTAAGTCCTCACCTATGCTGGGGTGGGCTTCGTGGTGATGATGCAGCTGCCTTTAAGTAATCAATGGTATGTAACCCCTTACCCATACTCCTATTAAGTAACCCCAAAACACTCACTGGTTCACCAGGCTAAAGAGGAAGGTTTACTTTGGTGCCCTAGCTGGGGTGAATGGACATCTGTTCATGTCTTCCAGGAAATAAAAAAAATTAAAATAGTTCTTTTTTAGTTCTAGATCCATACTTACAAGTATTTTCAGAATTCTAAGAGATCTGCTCAGTTTTTTGGTCCTGCATGGGACTGAACCCATACCCATATGCACAATGACTTTTAGAATTCATAGGTCCTTGACTACTAAATGGCAATCGATGCATTTTATATAACACAGAGAGAGGAAAGCTTCAAATAGAGCTTTTGATAATGCTGTTTTCCTCTGAACTGCTCTCATATTCCTTCAACTCTGAAATTTCGTACTTTTTGCTTTTCCCATCAGGTCTCACCTTCAATCTTCTGCGGTTCATTCGGACGTACCAATTGGTCAGAATATCTACAAACTTGACCAGGCGAGGCACCACAGTATACAGCCTATAAGCTAAAAGCAAGCCATGAGTCAGGTCGGGCCAGGCCTTAGGACAGGAAGAGGGATGAGCAATAAAGAACAAGCAGCCCCTTCCGACTCAGGGGCTCCTCACCTAGGGGGGCACTGAGAATCGGAACAAAGCAATCACAGACAGCTCATGGATTGAGGACACACCACATGGCAGCCAAGGTGTTCAGGGGCACACAACGATACCGAATTGCATGTACACTCATATAGTGAGGAAAACTGAACCCCTGTTCTGTGACTCAGGCCTGGTGTGCATGGAGTTGTGGAATAGCACCAACAGGGCCCAGATTTCTTCCACCGTTCTGTCTTCTACTGAAACAAAACAGTAGTAGAAAGCTTGCATTAAATGATGCTGAGAGGCACAGGGCAGGCCAGGAGTACTTGACCAGGAGCCAAATTGTTCTGCAAAGGAAACTTGGCAAAGCCTAGAGATATTGTAGTTATCTAAATATGTGGAGGGGGAACACTATTCTCTTCTCACTGGGTGACAGAGGGATGCTGCTCAGCATCTTACAAGGCACAGCACAGCCTTGTGCCACTGTTGTACTCTTGGGAGAAGGTACGATGGCAATGGTGCTCTTGCTGTGGTTCAGACACCAGAACCCAGGGCCAGAGTCATTAGCTGGTCACCTGTCTAGACAGGCAAGTTCAGTAACTTGGGATTATTCAAAGAGAGGCCAGTGTACATTATGCCTAGGCTTTACCACACTTTTCTTTCTGAGAAGCTTGATATTCCTCTGCTTTCATCTCTCAGAGAATAAATGAACCTCATATAACGAGCACACAAAATATGGAGACAACAGCAGTTACTACTGCAGTTAGCCATCGATCCCCAAAAGATGCCACGACTGCTTCATAAATAGGTTCTCTCGGGTCTTGAAGATAGGAGTATCATAGGTATGCAGGGGGCAGGTCAGCAAAGCCGAGTCTGGGTCAGGAGTTGTCCTCAGTGTGGATGCCTACCTCCTGCACGTGCCCCTTGCCAGAGGGATACTGAGCTCTAGTTTCTAGATGGACTAGGTTCTGACCAGGGTGTACAATTTCCAGACTCAGCTTCATGGGAAGTCATGGCAACTGGTCCTGAAAGATGGCAGGGTCCATGGACAATCCTCTGCACAGGGTTTATCCTCTGCCTGGTCATCCTTCAGAGAGAATTCCCCAGGGCTTTGAAACAAATTCCTTTCTACAACTAATGAGCCTTAACAAAACTGTCCTTGGAGGGTTAAAGGAAAAATGATGTGCTGTTATCTCTCAAAATTTCCACTATGTTTATAAGAAAAACAGCTAAAATAGCAAAAGAACAATCACAAAGAGAGTAAATAGTCCTTATCTCTAGGACAACACAAGAAAGACTCACCTGCCATTTCAGTCTCAAAGAACCCAACAAGGGACTGCATGAAAGACAGGATCCACCGATCAGTGATGTTGGGGCTTTCTCTAACTGTGTGCTCATTGTAGAAAAATTCCATTTCTTCCTCCTGCAAACAGACAACGAGGCATTTACATGCACAGAGGGTGAGTTATTACAAGGGAAATAATCTTTTTAATTATTTTATTTATATGTATGTGTGTGTGCACCCATGTGTGTGTGAGAGTGCCTGTGGAGGACAGAAGAGGGCATCAGATCCCCTGGAGCTGGAGAAACAGGCACTTTTGAGCTGTACAGTGTGGGTGCTGGGAACTGAACTTGAACACTCTGACAGAGCAGCAAATACTCTTGACCACTGAGCCATCCCTTTAGCCCCAATAAACTTTATGTTAATAAAATGGAAAGAAGCACTAAAAATCCAGAAGGATTTCAGAGCCTGCTGGCAAGCTATATTTCTGACATATTTTCAGTATAAGCATTAAAAAGAGACATCAAATCTTCAGTGAATTGTGGTTTTTAAGTGAAATGAAACAAACTTAGAGTCTGGTTACTTTAAACTTAAGGAAGGAAGGGCAGTCAAAGTTTCTAAGACCAAATGACTGTTTATAAACTAAAAACGAGTACTGGGAAAAAATTCTCACATTAGGCAGTATGATCCAACTTGAAACCCTTTATATCTCTTTTACTTTACAAAAGCCCTCCTTGATCCTAAAGGCCATCTCACCTGCTCTTGCTCTGCAAATTGAACTCACTGCAAGCCATGCTTCTTAGCAGTGTCAGGTTGGCAGAGCAGTGGTGATGGATTACACCAGTGGTTTAAGCACCTCATAGTGGGTGCAGTCTTGCTACGTACAGATGGCCTCTCTGTGGGCAGGTGTGAGCCTGCCTTACATTCCTAAGCCACACACCAACAGAGGTTTGCAGAGCACACTAGCTTTAGGGATGCTGTGCCGACCTGGCACCACTTGCAGGAGAATTGGCAGGATTACAGAGGGAGGCTGAGAGCCTGGGAAGATCCCTGCCTTTTTCAGGGAGAAGTATACCACGGGAGCCCCAGGTACAGACTTCCTCTGTTGTGTTCCCAGTAGAAGAAAGAGCAGAGCTGAATCTAGAGGAAGCAGAAGCAAGTGATTGGATTGCTAGCCTACTTGCTAGCTTCTGGGCTGCTCCGGGAGTCATACTGCACCCATTCAACAGTAAGTTACCAGGAGTTCTACTGATAGGTGCTGGGTAAGAGGATGAATAGGACTGGTGTTCCCCCATGGACTTTCATGTAATACAGAACCTTGTGCTAGTGATGAAGGTGTTGTGCTGTGACAATGGTCAGCTGGGGTCAGAAGAGGTGGATGCAGACTAAACTTCTCAAGATGGGCTTCCTAGGTGAGCAGGGAACTACTCTGAAGACAGGTTGATATATATTCCAACTGGTATTCTTAATCCTAGCAATCCATTCAGGCTCTCAGAAGCTCAACCAATGCTAACCCACACAGTGGCCTTCCCTGACCACTCTCTCAAATGGCCAGCCTGACCCCAGGCTCTGCCTCTGTCTTTCACTGCATATTCTCTGCTAGTAGCTGACTCGTGTACCATCTCCCCTAATTCCACATCCCACCAATTCCTAAAAGAGAGGATGGCTACGCTCACCACAAAAAACAGGCTGATGAAACCGACATTGCAACTCTTTCTATAGAGCAGGCCATGTCTTCCCTGAGGACCCCAGACACCGCTTGCACATTCGTGTACAGCTTCCTCCTGGGTATCCACCAACAGTATACAATACAACAATGTGGCCTCAAGGTCTTACACAGAGTCTGACCTCATAGCTCAACACACAACCCACTGTGCTCTATACCTTGCGGAGCCTAAAGACATTCTGGATGAAGAAGCGGTATGCATTGTACCATGGGAGCAGCACATCCTTGAGGACATCCCGCACACCCTCCTCTTTAAAGCGAAGGTTTTCTGCTCTCACCACAGGGGAATTGATCAGATACAATCTGAAAGAGGCAGAAAATGTATACAGAAAAATTACACAGCTAGTACATCAAATACTACTACTGAAACCAAAATACATCATTTTACCAGGACCAAGAGGATTAACATTGGCCTGGTCCTCACCAAGGACCAGCCACTCCCTCTTTCCCACCCATAGTGCTCACATGCTCACACCCTCACCATAGGAGCACCCGGGTTCATAAGGAGTAGCCTAGAGAGTACAGTCTAAAACCAGCAGAGGCCAGGAATGCTCTTCTGCATCCTGAAAGATGACCCTTACCATGGGAAAAAACCTAGACCAAACACATGACAGCACCAAAGACAAGTCTGATAGACAACTGAGTTGAGGGTCAACCCCACTCTCTGCTCCAAGTGACATGGAACTGTGTGTAGCTCACCTATAACATGGACATGTTGAACAAGGACTTGAGGACCTTGCATTTCAAGATTATGACTGTTTCAAGCAGTGGCTGAAATTTACCTTAAAAATCAAATTTGTATTTGTTCTTGCATAAATATATCATATACGGCTGTAAAAATGCAGTACTAAAATCGAGGATGAGATAATTCTAATACCAACCAGAGAGAGAACCTAGAAAGGAGGTAAGGCAGAGGTAAGCTGCAACCAGCCTGGGAAATCTTGGGTGACTTACAGACTATAGGATACTTCCTATTCCTCAAAAAGACCTCTAGGTTTGAAAATATCTTTATTATTTAAAAAACTATGTTTAGGGCTTAAAATCAACAACCATAAAAATGTAATTTCACAGATACCCAATGTTTAAAAGCATACTCAGAAACCAAATCTGAGAATTATGACACACACACACACGCATATACATATATATAAAATACACACAAAGAATTGCTCTGTACCTGAGGGCATCAGCACCATATTTATTGATGATGGAAACTGGATCTGGATAGTTCTTTTTCCGCTTGCTCATTTTTTGGCCATCACTTGTAAAACAAAAAGCAGATACCAATTAAATAAGTACACAAAGAAATACAGATTGCTTATAAACACCTAAGTACAAATGAGGAGTACCTAACTTAGATATAAGCTAATGCAAGCCATAATGGCAAAGCAGTTTTGCTCATACTTATAAGCTTTAACCAAATTTACTTTTCATTACTGTGTGTATACATGCATGATGGGGGGCGGGGGGAGTCAGTTCTCTCCTTCTACCTTTTTGTGGGTTCCAGAGATCCAGCTCAGGTTGCCAGTCTTGCCCAGCAAGCGCCTTTACCCACAGAGCCACATAAACTCTTCTTTAATACCGTGGTAAGTCTTTAGGGAAGTTTCAAGGTAGACTGAAGCAGGAAGATGTCCCATCCAGACAAATAAAAGCTTAAGTTCACATAAACTGCACGAGGGTGCATGAATATTCGTAGTATTTTTATTTACAATCACCAAACACTGGAAGAACCTTAGATTCCCTTTCATAGGTGATAGGTTGGGATGGGGGTACAACTATGTGGCAAACTTCTTACCTAGCATGTGTGAGACTCGGGATCTGATCTCCTACACCAAACAACAACAAAAATGGGGGAAGAGGAATGATTCCAAAGATAGAGAATACGAGGGGTTGGGAAGTGAGGTGGAAAGTTGGGTAAGTGTAGTTAAAGGGCACCAAGACTGATCCTTGTGTTGAAACAATTCAGTATATTGGCTCTGTTAGTGAATACTATACACTTCTAAATATAGTCAACTAAATGAGTACACATAAAACTGGGGTAAAGGCCAGGCATGCTGGCACACACTTTTTAAATCCCAGTGCTTAGAAGGGGTAGAAAGGCAGATCTTTGTAAGTTCAAGGCCAACCAGGGCTACGTTGTAAGAAGTGCTTAAACAATAACTAGGAACAAATGAACCAGATCAATGGGCTATGTTAATACCCTGACTGTGACAGCACAAGATAGTTTATATACAGGAGATCTTTATTATGCAAATCTATAATGACCCCAACAAAATTTCCAATTAAGAAAAAAATTATTTTGTATCATTGAAAGTTTATTTATTATTATTGTGTGTATATACATGTGTGGGTATGGGAGTGCGCATGCCATGGTGTGCATATGGAGATCAGGGGACAACTTTGTGGAGTTGCCTTCCTCCACATGGGTTCTGGGAAATGCACTTAGGTTGCCATGGTGTGCATATGGAGATCAGGGGACAACTTTGTGGAGTTGCCTTCCTCCACATGGGTTCTGGGAAATGCACTTAGGTTGCCATGGTGTGCATATGGAGATCAGGGGACAACTTTGTGGAGTTGCCTTCCTCCACATGGGTTCTGGGAAATGCACTTAGGTTGCCAGGTTTGCATGACAAATGCTTTATCTGCTGAGTCATATTCTCCAGCCCCAAGAAAACTTTTAAAAAGCAGGGTTAGTTTAAAAGAAAAAAGCTCAGTAGCAGAGCATGTGGGACTCTCAGTATGAGAAAGGAAGGAAGGGAGGAAGGGAAGGAGGGGAAAAAGAAAAAGAAGAAGACTTTACAGAGCCAGATGCCTACGATCAGAATGGGAATTTACCAACTCGTTTCTGTGTAACATTCATTCAGCAAGATACTTTTTCTGTACTGTAAGTTCCTCCACCATCAAAAGGGGACGATTACAAGGCCTACCTCCCATAACTGTGGAGGAATGAGTTACGCATGGCAGTGTACACATTGGGCCTGGCTAAGGGTGAGGATGCACTAATGTTTGGGTCATTCTCTTCTTTACACGGCATGTGCAGCAGGGGGTCTGTGTGGAAAAATATTGTCTGAAATTTTTATTTATACTTATTTTTGCTCTAATTTACTAATGGTAATAGAAACAAAGGGACTGAAAAGACTCCCCTCTAACACTAGGTAGGTAGTGATTCTTAGTGAGAAGAAAGTCCCTGTGTAGAGTCTGCCACGGCTCTCACTAGCTCTGCTTCTGACACTCACCTGGTTTTTGGAATCCAGAGATTCCTCATATATTAAAAAGACAATAAACACATACCTTTCAGGAGGAATACACAGATTAAGTAAGACCTATAGGCAAAAACACCTCACAAAATGCTAAGTGAAGTAATTAGAACTTTATTGTTAGTAGCATCACTAGAAGCACTGTGTTACTAGGAGCAACAGGTTCCATCTCCCTAAGGCCTGGCAGGCAATATATACTTCTTCCTTAGGAAACGACAGTGAACATGTGGCGCTAAAGCACCAAGAGATGTTCAAAGGACAAAAATATCAACAAGGGGGCTACAGAGATGGCTCAGTGGTTAAGAGCACTGGCAGCTCTTACAGAGGACCCATATGGTGGCTAACAACCATCATAACTCCAGTTCTGGAGTATCTGATACTCTCTTCTGGCCTCCGAAAGCACTGCATGACGTGGGGGCATTTATATACATGCAGGAAAAGCACCATGCACATAAAAATAAATAAGTTAAAAAAAAAGAATGTCAGTAAGAGGGAGCAGGGTCAGGGTGCGGCACTACGATGCATACTTATAATCTTACATTTGGGAGGCTAAGGCAGGAGGATGGTAAGCTAGAGGGTAGTCTGCCTCAGGAAAAAAAGAGAGAGATATAAACAGGCAGCAAGAAGTCTGAGACGAGAAGGGAAAGGGGGCTAGAACTGGAATCGAGTAGTGCTAAATTCCTCTATTTAAGGAGAAAATGTGCTGAGGCCCAACCAGAACATGGTCGCTTTGGAAGGCAACAGCTTCCAAAGCCAGAATGTAACTCATCACAACAGAGGGTGCACCTGCCTTGCCAAGATGAGTCCATTCACAATCACATTCTTGAAAGGTGGTTGTCCGAAGAGAGCTGTAGCCAGCACCAGAAGGGTGTAAAACCTAAAAAAGATAAGAAACAGATCAGAACAGTTGAATAAACACGGAAAAGGAACCCAAGCACGGGAAAAAAAAAGATTTACTTTTTGGACCAAGTTTCTATTTTTGATACATTATATTTCTTTAAAAAGCAAAACAAGGGAAGGAACCCAAGCACGGGAAAAAAAAAGATTTACTTTTTGGACCAAGTTTCTATTTTTGATACATTATATTTCTTTAAAAAGCAAAACAAGGGGCTAGAGAGATGGCTCAGCGGTTTAGACCACTTGTTATGCTTCCAAAGGACTCAAATCAGTCCCCAAGACCCACATCATGAAGCTCACAACCACCTGCAACTCTAGCTCCAGGGGATCTGAATCCTGCAACTAAGTTTTAAGTGATCCAATACTTTCTTCTAGTCTTAACTGCAGGCACACTCACACATGTAGCATACACTCATACAGACAGACAGACACACACACACACACACAAAATTAGAAATGAAAATTTTGGGGGTTGGAGAGATGGTGCAGCAGTTAAGAAAACTGGCTTTCCTTGCAGAAGACCTGGTTTTGATTCCCAGCAGCCACATGGCAGCTGACAACTGTCCTTAACTCCAGTTCCAGGGTATCTGATGCCCTTTTCTGACTTCTGTGGGCATGGCACAACACAGGTGT